ACAGTCCTCCATAAAATGTGCTGGACACATCCGAATATTTGGGTTGACGTGTTCTGGAACAGTGTTGTAAATACAACTTAACCACTGATTTCTAGTCGTGTCCATTTTTGGAAGGCCAAACAAAGTAGTTTCGCTTTCACAACGAAACACAGCGTCACACACGGCGGCCTAGAGTGAGCGGCGGCGGCCTAGAGTGAGCAGAGGCCGGGGGCTAGAGTGAGAAACTTGAGAACAGCGTGGCCAGTGGATTCGACGAAGGAGCGTCCGGAGGGCTTGCGGCAACCACATGTGACGACCCCGGGCTGGACTCCGCTTCGTCCACGGTGAAAGCCGATCCAACGATCCACAGCACGAAGTTGATGTATTCCCTCGGCGACCAGCACAGATCAGCTCCAGGCATGACGAAGCCATATCGTCCTCTTTTGGAAGGCCAAACAAAGTAGTTTCGCTTTCACAACGAATCACACAGTGCCTTCACGACATGGCAAACAATACTACAGCGAGAATAAAAGTTACGCCTTCTTTCTTTACGTGAACATTTGGGCGGCGTTATGCAAATCGTGTTAGAACGAGCCATTTTAGGTTGGCGTGGCTGACTCTTAACTTTTATAAAGAATATCTCTTTGGATTTGAGACTTTAGTCTTTGCAACTTTACAGATCTTCTTTATGCACCAAGAGCTTGTAACACTCCAAAGAGAAAGGAAAAATTGAAATCGCATCATATGACCCCTTTAAAAAATCACTACAGACTATTTCTGTTGTATCGTTGCACATGGTTTTTTAAAGACAAGAATGTGGAGAACTTGGAATCTGTACTCAGAATCATATCTGAAGGATTCAGTATTTACTGGCTTTATTTCCTTTGTATTTTAGCACAGCAAAGGAAGTGGAGGCGATTGTGAGGGCTAAGGGTGCAGTCCCAGCAACCATTGGGATTCTTGAGGGCAGGATTCATGTGGGCCTTTCTTCAGATGAACTGGACTTCCTGGCACAAAGCAAAACAGCACTAAAAGTGTCCAGAAGCGATCTACCTTATGTCATCAGCAAGGTCTGGAACTAAAGTTATCTTTGTTTGTAACTAATGTGATTAGACATTTGTGTAATGTCTGTGCTTTGATCATTTAGGGTTTGTCGGGTGGCACAACTGTCTCCAGCACAATGATTGCGGCTCACAGGGCTGGGATTCCTGTCTTTGTAATTTTTGTAGGCATTGGAGGAGTACATAGAGATGGAGAAAACGGCATGTTTATTTTCAAAATTGTCCTTATTTTCATGTGAAATGTGTACTGGCGTGTATTTAATGACCAATATATTATCTCTTGTAGCCCTGGATGTGACCTCACTGAACTGTGTCTGCTGGGGTGAAATCCATCCTAGATATCGGTCGCACTCTTGAGTTCTTGGTAAGTGCTCGAACCCAGTTACCATTTTGTAAGTCTGCATGTGAACACAGACACTGGGGGAAATAGCAGTAAAATTGTGAAAAGTTGTTTCATAACTTTTGAGGTGAGAGTTTTTGACCTTTGCTGGCATCTAACCGTCACTTAAAGTTAAGTTTAAAAACACGAATAATGTAGTAACACTGTAATATGTAATTTCTAGAACGAATCTTAAAATGAATATTCAGACAAGACACCTCAGGTGAATAGGGTAAAAAATTTAACTAACAGATATCAACATACTTCCCCAGTTTATTGATTACATTAAGAATTTCAAACAAGTTTCCTGAAATGTTAAGTTTAAATATGCAAAAGAAGCATTATCTAATTAAATATGCACCAACATTGGTTAAAACCAGGTTCAAAATTCTTAATTTTCATTCATTTCATTAGTTCATTAGTGTCATTTTATTGACATTTGAGTCATAAGTTTTTACAGAGCGGATTTTGGATATCTCTTTTTATCACTCATAAATCAGGAAATACTGTCAACAGCCAGAAAAAATCTGCATGTTTTTATAAATGAAATAGTGTAAAAACTTAGGCATATGATATATGAACAAACCCCTTTCTAAAAACTTTCAAAATACAGAAATGAATAAAACTATAATGTTTAATGTGTATGTAAATGATGCTAAGTGCATGAGAAAAAAATATATAATTTTGAGAAAACTGCTTTTAAAGATATGTATTGTAATTGAAATAAATAAACTGTAATAAAATAAATGCTTAAAATGTTTTCTTCCCACTAGTCTTAACACACTATGAAAAGCCAAACAGTCCAAGATTTCAAAACTGATCCATGCATGTTGTGTCTTGTCTTATTTTTTTTTATCATAATATGTAAGTAATTATAATACACATATTTTAATATCCCAGGGTCAGATTAGATTTTTATATATATATATATTAGGGCTGTCAGTTTAACGCGTTAACTTAATTAATTAGTTATGAAAAAATTAATTAAAATATTTTAACGCAGTTAACACACTGGCCCCGCCTCCAGACCTGTATGTCATCTTACATTTCATACAGTTGACAAATATGATGCAGAGCAACGACTCCATAAATGCAGTTATGCGATAAAATTCAAGATATTGGTGCAAAAGGCATACGATATCACGAGCAGGGAGGGCAGTATTACACGAGTGCTGCTTTTGTCCCGAATATCACGAGTTTAAATGTGATTTTATACAACAGTTCCGTAAATAAGAAGTTGATGTTGTGTTATATTTTAAACACAATATTATGTTTTTGCAGAGAAGATATTACCTTTAAAGCCACAGCAGAATTGTTGTGCGTCTCCGAGCAACACAGCCATGTTTAGTTTCTGAATGAATCCGCATTTTGAACTAATCGTGTGAACCAATGATTCAAAGTCCCATTCATAAAATGAGCCGTTTACTGAATTCCTGAATTAATTATTAGATTGATTGAAGAATGGAATGAATGAATGAGTGACTCATAAAGACATTTACCACCACCTGCTGGCAGATTTAGTTTCTTATTTAGAGTATTATTTCATTAAAAAAAAAGAAAATAAAAACATTAAAGGGATAGTTCAGCCAAAAAAGTTTAATTTGGTCATCATTTATTGACCCTCATGTTGTTTCAAACCTTTCTTTTGTGGAACATAAAAGAAGGTATTTTGAATACTGTTGGTAAAAAAAGCTGTATTGGTTACCAATGACTTTCATTGTATGAAGAAAAAATACTGAGAGGTTTCTTAAATTATTTTCTTTTATGTTCCATAGTTTGTGTTAGGCCGTTGTAGCCTAAATGTTTATGTGTAATACATTTTATGTTGAATCAAATAAAATATTTATTTCTAAAGCTACAATGTGTAATGTCTACTTGATACTTTCTCATTTAACACAAAAATAGCTTTAAATAATCTTTTGTAGGTATTTTCACAGTCAAATTTATTTTGCGATTAATTAGATTAAAATTTTTAATCGACTGACAGCCCTAATATATATATATATATATATATGTGTGTGTATTATAATTATTTACATATTATGAGCTCTAATTCAAAGATCAGTGCTGTTATTGACAGGAAACTCAGGGTGTGTGTGTGTGGCCACATATGGAGATTCAAAGAGCTTCCCGGCTTTCTTCTCTCGGCAAAGTGGATTTACTTCTCCTTACCATGTCTCCAGTCCTCAAGAAGCAGCAGATCTTGTTGGCAAGTCTAAGTGTTTAAGCTTTTACCACACATACATTTGTCAATATTGCACATTTACTGAATGCTGCAGTGATCCTAATTGAAAGCTAGGTGAAACAGAGATCATAGATAATGTTCCTCTGCATATCCTCATCCTGCTTAGTCATTTGTGAAGGGTTCTTTAATTCTCTCGTTCCTCAACAGCAAGCACACTATCTCTGGGGCTGCAAAGTGGTCTTCTGCTGGCTGTTCCCATCCCTGAGGAACATGCAGCCACGGGACAACAGATAGAAGACGCCATACAAACAGCTGTGACAGAGGCCAGGTAGAGAAAAATAGTGCTTGGCCATACTATATGCCGCATATAATGATAAGCACTTCTGAAAAAAAGCATTTTCATTTGTCAATATTGCACATTTACTGAATGCTGCAGTGATCCTAATTGAAAGCTAGGTGAAACAGAGATCATAGATAATGTTCCTCTGCATATCCTCATCCTGCTTAGTCATTTGTGAAGGGTTCTTTAATTCTCTCGTTCCTCAACAGCAAGCACACTATCTCTGGGGCTGCAAAGTGGTCTTCTGCTGGCTGTTCCCATCCCTGAGGAACATGCAGCCACGGGACAACAGATAGAAGACGCCATACAAACAGCTGTGACAGAGGCCAGGTAGAGAAAAATAGTGCTTGGCCATACTATATGCCGCATATAATGATAAGCACTTCTGAAAAAAAGCATTTTCTTTGTATATCTGATGCTCAAAAGGTGTCACAGGAAGAGATGTCACCCCTTTTATCCTTCAGCGAGTCACTGAGCTGACTGAAGGGATGTCCTTGCAAGCCAGTATCCATTTAAGATGGATAAAAAAAAGATGATAAAGCTTATTGCATTTATGTACTTATGACACTAACTTGTCATGTTCATTTTGATTTTGTGTGTCCTTTTGTGGTATTTTCCTGAAGTTCATTCACTTTCAGATAGAGCACTCATCCATTACAATGCCAAGATGGGCAGTCAGATTGCATGTGCCCTTTCTAAACATAAAAAAGTGAAGGCAACTTCAGAGGTGATACTAAGACCCAAAAGTCAAAGGACAAGAGAAAAGGCTCCAAAACTGTAAGTGGTACAAAACTGAATGCCTCAGATGGTCTTTACAAGACATAATAAGCTCTTAAGGAATTTTATAAAATTAAATTTTTTTAGTGTAGTTACTGTTAACTAATACTACATTTAAAAAATTGAAATAAAGCTAAAATAAAATATTAATATTAGATGAAAAACTTTTTTTTTTAAAAAGTAAGCAGAAATGAGAAATGTTGCCTTGACAACCAACTGAAATAAGTACTAAAGCTGAAGTACTAAAATGACAACTAAAACAGAATAAATAGAAATAAAAACCCAAAAACTAATAAAATGTCAAAAGCACATAACAGCATTATTAAAGTTTAAATTCAAATGAAAATATAAAAATAAAAGCTAATTTAAAATATTAATAAATATCGTAATATTATATTAAAATGCTAAAATAACACTGTTTATTTCCCTTGTGATTGGTGGAATAAACGTTGATTTCATCGCTAAAGGAACAACAAAGAAATTGGTGGTAAGTCTAATAACAAGCTAAAGGAACTTAAGTTACTTTTTATGGCATTAGGTTAATATTATGTATTCATATTGTATTTTCAGTTTGGTCAGACAAATCCAGGAAGTGTTTGTCAGTCATTTGGAGGTGTGGGCAGAAATATTGCTGGCATGTAATGTGTCATTCATATTATTATTAATGAATATGTACAATTCCTCTTATTGCCTATATTTGCTTATGTTTGGGCTCAGTAAGATTTTTTAAAATGTTTTTTAAAAAGTCTCTTTGCTCACCAAGGCTGAATTTATTTGAAATTTATCAGAAATATAGTAAAAGAGTAATATTGTGAAATATTATTACACCTTTAACTGTTTTGTATTTTAAATATAATATATATTAATATATTTTAAAATGTAATTTATTCCTGTGATGGTAAAGCTGAATTTTCAGCATCATTACTTCAGTCTTCAGTGTCACATGATCCTTTAGAAATCATTCTAATATGCTGATATGCTCAAGAACTGTTTCTTTTATCATTTCGAATTTTGTACACAAGAACAGCATTTATTTAAAATAGATATTGTCACTTTTGAACAATTGATTGCATCCCTGTTAAATAAAAGTATTAATTTCTTACTGATCCAAACTCTTAAAGTAACCCTGACGCTTTTTGGATTTTAGTCCAGCTATGTTAGTTTGCTTAGCGTTTACATGCTAATTCACATCTAAACACTGACAAAAACCTTGGCTGATAAACGATTTTTGAAATGTTCAGTCTTTTTATTTCAGAGGTAAACAGAGGAAATAATAATGATGATTCATCCTGCACTCACTCATTTTGTCCAATCAGATGCACTATAGAATGATATTGTCCCGCCCCCTAATAACACATGCAAATGACAAAAAATAGCAAATCATGTTCATGGCTGTGATGAAATTAAAATCTATTGGCTTAAAAAAAAAAAAAAGACAAACTCTCCAATATATATTTCCCATGCGAACTTCCTGTTGAAATAGGAAAATCTGCAAGGGCTTTAATGTAACGTTAACAACTAGTTTGATAACATAAATCATTTTTAATTTTTGTATCTTTACGTTCAGGTATCTCAGTTTGAGGACCAGCTTGCGTCAGCATCTCTCGTAGTTTTTGATGGCAACATTCCAGTTTCGACCATTGATTACGTGTGCTGTATCGCCAAAAAACGTGCAGTCCCAGGTAAACCTCATTTATCTAATACTGCTTCAGAGCATTGAGGTCATAGTTTCAAGACAGTTGCTACGTGCATATTGCATGTCTTTTTCTTATGCTGCAGTGTGGTTTGAGCCCACGGTTGCAGATAAGGCCTGTAAGCCCTTCCTGTCAGAGAGCTGGAAAGCCCTGTCTTACACCTCCCTCAACCTGGCTGAGCTCTGCACCATGAATCATACACTAGGTCTACCCACTCCTACAGGTACCGGAGTTAGAAACCACCTAAAATAACCAATGCTTGACTGCCGGACAGGAAGTGGCAGAGCTACTTGAATATTCATTTTAAAAATATTTTGATTTAGAGGTGCCCAGATCACTTGAGGATGTCTTGGGCTGTATACCGGCTCTGTCCCGCCCCCTGCTGGAGCATCTGCATTGTGTGGTGGTCACTTTAGGTGCGCTAGGTGTAATGGTGTGTGGAGAACATGATGCTGGGACTGTACATTTGCAGCCACAAAAGCAAAAGCGGGTATAATGGCCTTATTATATTAATCATGAAGGAATAGTTCACCTAAAAATGAAAATTTGCTAAAGATTTACTCATCCTCAGGTGATGCAGATGAGTTGGTTTCTTCATGGGAACAGATTTGGAGAAATATAGCATTACATCACTTGCTCACCAATGGATATTCTGCAGTGAATGGGTGCCATCACCAATGGGTGGAGTCCAAACAGCTGATAAAAACATCACAATAATCCACAAGTAATCCACACAACTCCAGTCCATCAGTTGACATCTTGTGAAGTGAAAATATGTGTGTTTGTAAGAAACAAATTCATCATAAAGACTTTTTTTTAACTTCAAACCTCTTTAACTTCAAAACTCAATCCATAATATTGCTTCTCCAGTGAAAAAGTCAGCTCGTCTGAATCAGGAGAGAAATATACACAGATCAAGCACCGTTTACAAGCCAAAAAGTTCTAAACAAATGTAGGTGGATTTTGATTTAAGAGGACAACAGAGGATGGACTTTTTCACTGGAGAAAGCATTATTATGGATTATGGACTTTTAAAGTTAAAATGCCTTAATGATGGATTTGTTTCCTACGAACACACAGCTTTTGCTTCACAAGACATTAAGTGATGGACTGAAGTCGTGTGGACTACTTGTGGATTATTGTGATGCTTTTATTAGCTGTTTGGACTCTCATTTTGACGGCACCCATTCACTGCTATTACTTGGAGTAAATCTAAAGATCTTAATTGTAACATTAAAATGCTGAACATTATTTATACCTTTTTATAGCAGAAGGGATGGCTGTGTGCCATTCATTATCCTGCGCTGGCTATGCGTGCTAAAGAAACAGTAAATGTTTCTGGAGCTGGTGACAGGTATGTTAACAAAAGTTTTAACATCATACAAAAACAATATCATGTTGCATTAGACTCTCTCTATCTCATCTAGTTTTGCTGGAGCAATGATGTTTGGGTTCTGATGTCTGGACACAGACAGCTGTGTGCGTATGGGTCTCCTTGCCGCCCGCGCATCCTTGCTGTCTCCTCATCCAATAGATCCGTCTCTTACAGCAGATGCCATCCATCCAGAAAAGTCACACTCTCAACTGTGGTCAAAGTCTACATGTGTGTGGATGGAGGACTAAAATATGGCCTAAAAGAGACTAAAATCTTACCAGCAGACATCTGCAGTCATGGTACATCAGGCTGTATATATAGGTGGTACTTATGTGAAGTCTGATATATAGACTTCATATGTATTTTAATTAACAGAATTTGAGTACATTGATTTGTTTTTATTTTTTTGTCTAAACCTCTGTCACACTGATATTATCTGTAGTGGTGGACACCTTCAGAAACATGAAAATCCTACCTCATAACTAAAACATCTGTGTTTTTAGCATTTTATAGTATTATAACATACTTGTGTTGATAGCTGGTATTTTTTTGTACTAATTTTTAATCATGTCAACTACAATGCTTTTGCATTGCATTTTGAATGTTAGAAATTAAAATAAAATGCTTTTATAATTTCAAAATATATTTTCAAATTTTTGTTCTTTATAATTGTAATTATTGTATAATTATGCATGCCGTAAAAACTAAAAAAAAATTAAATACTTTTTAACTTAATTTATTTTATTTTTCTTAACTGCACCTACATATGATATGATGGCAATATGTGTCGCCACTTGTGGCGACTGTAGTACATTACTGATGTTAAAAATAATGATGACTAATAAACTACATCTCCCACAATGCACTGTGCCTCTCGCATATTGCGCAAACTCAGTGAGAGGTGACTGGTTACTGTATTCCCTCCTCATTTCAGAGCAAGATGGTGGTAAGAATCTGTTACCTAAATAAACAGTAAAACTGAGTAGGAAAACATCTAATCAGTTTTGAACATCTGAGCTGTGGAATAGTGCTCATTCCAAACTATCAGATAGGCACATCTGATCAGTTGAAAGGGAGAATCCCCCGCCTAAACTAGAGTGAATATCTATTGGAGTGGAATCCCTGCAATACAGGACCAGCTAGTAGAAGTGAGTACCCTACAAAACAACTGCTTTAATCGCGATCAGTGCACCCGAATATAACTACTACATCAGTATTAGGTTTGTATAAGTGTGTTGAAGCAGACTAACCCCATGGTTAAAAAATAAAACATTGAGTTTAAGTGAAGGATGAAGTCAAAGGTGGACGGGCGGCTGTTCCTCCTCTGGTCGCCGGGCCATTTAGCAGGAGAGTCGCAGGCTTTAGCTGTGTGTAGGCCGAAACATAGAAACGTTTAGAAAACATTCGTTGTCGACAAAATATAGAGAGAGGGAAAGTCGTTTTAATGCCCTACAATCATTTCAAAATATGCGTGCTTTTAAGTGTGTGTGTTATTGGTTGTTGGAGAGTGAATTAAATGTTTTTAGGCGTTGTGTTTTGTGCCGCACGTCAGATGAAGTCTGTCCCAGCTGTGGAGACACCTGACCGGCTTTCAGCTCGACTCACGCGCCGCTAGACATATACGATGTGAGATATCAGTAATTGCGATTTTAATAAAGATTCATAGATATTAAATGTGTTGGTTACTTATTTAATGTCAATTTGAAGCAGAAACGGGCTCTGAGAATCTAAACAGTGTTGTGATCTGGGCAGATGCGAGAGATTGAAGTGTGAATGTTTAATATATGCTTTCGCTGAAAATGCTAATAATAATTTGCTTTCAGAATTTAACTTTTTTTCGCAACATTGTTTAAAAATGCATTTGTTGTGATACAAATGTCAGCGTTGAACAAAAGAGATACTGAATCGTATGTCATT